AAATTTAATGGTTTTAAGTTTAATTTAACTTCTTTTCTTATATACTTTTTAAAGGCATATATTAATTACTTAATTAAAGATTATTAACATAGTTATAAGCATATTATAAGGGGATAATAGCATTAAATATAATAAGCATTATAAGTAATTAGCATTAAAGCATTGGCAAGCAAGGGTTATATATGGCAGCATATAACCACCCCTAGATAGTTTATAGTTAAAAGGAGGTTCTGCAGCTTATAGCCATAACCCTTCTTCCTTTTATATAGCTAATTTAAATATAACCAATTTGCTATTAATAAATATACATTAACTTAGCTAATATTAACCTTAAAAAGAATAAATTTAAAAAGTTAATAAAATAATTTAATAATTAAATAATATAAAAAAATTAAAAACTTTAATAAAATTAAATAATAAATATATATTCTTTATAAAAAAATATTTAAATTAACTTAATAATAAACTAAATAAGATAAAGCTATTAATTTAAATAATTATTATTAATATTATTATTTTAAATAAAAAAAGAAATAATAAGATATTTACTTAATTTAAAGAAATATTATAAAGGATAATATAATTATTTATTATTATTATTATTAAAGGTATTTATATAAAATAATATTTTATATTATAAGGAATTTATAAAAATAAGATTTGGCCGCATGGCACACTAGTTATGCGTCTGGCTTCTTTCTATGGAGAGCATAGGTTTAAACCCTGCCGCGGCCGCCAAGACTTTTTTTAGGAATTTTCCCCTTAACTACGCTATAACGAATCGCAGCTTGCCTACCCGCAACCCCCTTAGCTAAAAAAGGGGCCCATGCCTAGGGCCTTAAAAACCCTACCAAAACTAACGGAAATAAGTACCTAAAGAGAGCCTTAGGCCCTTAAAACCTTAAGCTAGCAGCGCCTTAAAATGCACCTTATAAAAAGGCCCCCTTGCAAGGGGCCTTTAAAAATTAACTAATAAATAGGCTTTATTATAAGCCTTAATTAGCCTTATTAAAAGCTTTATATTAATAAAGGCAGCTTTATAACTCCGCATTAAAGCAACTATAGCCCTTAATAAGAAAGTAATAACCCTTTATTAAATAATTACAAGAAATCTACTTATAAAAAGCGGCCCTTATTAAGATTAGGATTAAAAGAAAGGATTACTAGGAAAGAAAAGTAAAAAAGGGCTTTATAAATCTTAAGAGAGGTTAAGGGAAAAGCTCCTAATTAAAGAAATTAAGAGGCGTATTAATTTTCATCCAACTCCAAAGCACGGTTTTTCCAATATGGGTGAATTTGCAAAGGGACCGCATGCTAATTGGCAAGCTCTATATATATATATATATATATATTGTAGCTTTACGTGAATAGAATATTATTATTATTATTATTATAAAAATAAGATTTTAATTTAAATTTAAAAATAATAATATATAAAATATTATAATAATGTTTAATATCTTAATAATTACTTAATATAAAAATAGAAAAAATATTACTTATTATATTTATAAATTACTTATTTATTATTATAATAAAAGTATAAATAATAATTAAGTTTTAAAATATATAGCTCTTTATTAAAGAAATAATAGCTTTAAAGGTAAACTTTTAATTATAATTAATAAAGTATTATTTAATTATTTTATAAAAATTAATATAATATATTCTTTTTAATATTTACTGTTAATATCTTTATTTATAATTTTAAAAATAAATAACTTAATTTCTTAATTAATTATTTTTATTTAAAAAATAAGGAATCTTTAATTTTTTTTAAAATAAAGCTTAATTAATTAAGTTAAAGTTAATAAATTTAAAATTAAATAATATAAATAAGTAATATATTTTTAAAATAATTTTATAAAAATATTAATAATATAATTAAGTAACTTAAATTAAAGTAAATATATATAAAGAAAGTTATTAATATAAATATAATTATATAAGCTTTAAATCTTATTTTATTATTTAAATAATTTTAAATTTTTATAAAATAAAATAAAATAAGATTTTATAAACCTTATTATTATTCTTAATTTATTAATAATATAATTTTTTAATATATTTAAAAAGTTTACATAAAATAAAATTATTATAATAAGATTTATATTAATTAATTATCTTATAAATTATATTTAAGTATTATAAAATATTAATAAAGTTATTTAAATAAATAAAAAAGTTATTATTAATAATTATAATTAAATTTAATATATATTTTTAATTATGTTTTATTTAAATAAAAACATAATCTTTATAAAATTACTAAATATATAAATAATTTAAACGTTTTTTTAAATATAAAAATAATTTATAAAAAAAGATAAATTATATTTTATAATTAAATAAATAATAAATAAATATATAATTAATATAACCATTTTTTTTATTAATTTATTTTAAAAAAATATAAAATTAATTATTTTTAACTTTTATTAATATAAATATTATAATAAATATTATTAATATTTTTATTTATAATAAATTTCCCCTTTTAAATATAAGTATATTTATTTCTTTTAATATATATTATAATATTAAGATTAATATTATAAATATAATAAAAATAAATATATATATTATAAAATAATAAAATAAAATTATATTTTTTATTATTAATTAAGAAAATATTAATTATAAAGTATTTTTAAATATATTATTCTTTAATTAAATAAAAATATTATTTATTTATATTTTAAATTAATTAATTTAAATAAGTTTTAATTTAAAAAAGTAAAATGTATAAATAAAGTTAGCTTTAATTATTTATTTTAAAAAATTAATTAATTAAGAAAATAATTATTAATATTAAGGAAAAATAATTAGTTATTAATAATAAATATATTTTTAAATAAATATTAAATATATTAAAATTAAATAATATTTTTAATTTATTTATTAATAATTTTAAATTATAAATAAAGAATTAATAAAGTTATATAATTAAAAGTTTAATAAAGATAAAAATTAATATAAATATAATATTTATTAATTAATATATAAATAAGTAAGAAAAGCTTAAGAAAGATTAATTAATTAAGGAATTTAAAAGATTGTTTAATTAATTAATATTATATATAAAATTATTAAATTAAAAGTTAAATTAATAAATAACTTTAAACTTAATAATATAATACTTTAAAGGGTAATTAATTAAAAAGCCTTATAATTATAAAAAGCAAGATTTATATAAAAATAAATATTATTTAATAAATGTGGGAATAGTATGTATGGGCATTACGTGCAGCGTGCCCATGCAGTGGGTGTGCTGCAGGCAATGCATAGATTTGGAGGTGCAAGGTTTAGATTAGTCTTATCGATAGCAGCTGCCAGCCGGTGCTAGCCGGCTGCTAGCTGGCGGTTACGTGCCCCGTGCATGGACCATTATAGCTAGCCTATAGCTAGATGGGGGAAGGCTGCAGCTTCGCTGCAACCTACCCTTTATATATTATAGCTGAATTAATTATATACTCTATTTATCTATTACCAACTATATGGAAGCTAAATCAATATTAATTAGTGCTTGCTTGGCAAGCATAAATAATTAGGTATTAAAGAGATAAATTTCATCCCTTAAAAGCTTATTTGCTTATAATAATTCCGTTAAGGGACTTTATGCTAATGATAATATTATAAGCTGCTAAAACCCTTAACTAAGCATTAAAAACTAGTTTATAGTAATAATACTCGATTTTTAATTGCGTTTATTAACGCAGATTATTAATAATGATGATTATAAAAAGCTTTAATTAAAAAGCCTTCCTTAATATATCCTTAAGCAATTATAACCTTCCTTAATTATTAAAAGCCTTTTCATAATACCCTTAATTATTAAATAAATTAATAATAAGCTTTACTTAATTTTATTTAATTTATGGTAAACGCTTAACTTTTAAGTAAAATTAATTAGTTTATGGTAAATGCCCAACTTTTAATTATGTTACCCTCGCATTCTTAGCTTTCCTCGCAATACCCTTAATTGCCAACACCTTTGCTTGTAATTAATATGTTGAAAAGCCCTCCTCGCAATACCCTTAAGAAGCCCTTGCTTGGCACCCTTAAGAAGCCCTCGCTTAGCACCCTTAAGAAGCCCTCGTTTGGCACCCTTAAGAAGCCCTCTTTTGCAATTAATGCCCCTTAGGGCACTTACTTAACGCCCTAGGCCCTCCAACCCTTTAAAAAGACCCCTGAACACTTAATAAAGCATAAGGCGCTTAAACACTTTAAAGTATTGGCAAATAATGTTTCTTTTGGGTGATTTGCGTACTTGATTGGCACGCTTAATTAAAATACTTTAAAGTGTTGGCAAAAGAAGCGATTCTCTTAGCCAGTTTAAAACCGTTAAGGGGACTAGTTAAGATTTACTGTTGGTTTAGCTATATAAATGACTTAATTAAACCTTTAAGATATTTACCTTTTAATGATAGTTAACGTTTAATTAATAATTTAATTAATAAGCATAATCTTCCCTTTTCTCAACGCCCTTTTTATTAACACCCTTTAATAAGATCTTAAGCATAAATTGCCTTAGAATTAATAAAGGTTAGTTTGTCAAGTAATAATAGCATTTAAGCGCTACTACTTGCGGATAAATAGTTTAAAAGCTAATCATTAATCTATAAGCATAGCAAAAGAACATTCTCTTCCCTTCCCCTTTGCCTCACGATTAACTATCTTAAGATCTACCCTAATAACAACGGCAATAACCTTAACAGCAATAATGCCTACCATTAGCCGCAAAAGAGCCCCTGCCCCCTAGCCATTCAACCCTCCTTAAAACCCTCCAAAAGCAACCACCTTTAAGCGCTATTTATAGGCATTTATAAATCCCTAAGTTATAATAACAAAGTCATTCATGGAAGCCATAAGCACGCAGCATGAGAACACTATTTATTAATAATATAACTTAACATTTAAGTTAAAGCGCAAGCTAAAGGTATATATCTTTAATGCCTATCGCAATAAGTTGGTAAGCAATGCTAACAACGCTAATAATCTCAACACTCCTCCTTAGCCAACTCCTCCTCAACAACCTCCTTATCAGCAGCCTCCTCATCAGCAGCCTCCTTCTTAACAAGCTCCTCCTTAGCAGCTTCCTCCTTAATAGCCTTAAAGGCAATCATAGCCTTCTTTGCAGCTAGCTCATCCTTAGCAAGTCACTTCTCATTAACCTCCTCCTTAACCAACTCCTCCTTAATAGCCTCCTCCCCCATAAGGCTATTAAGCATACTAATGGGAATACCCCTTCATATCATCTAATTAGTTGCATTATGCATATAAAATACCAAAATCACTAAAACTTTAATGGTATTAGCAATTATCGCTATCGCCATAGCCTTAAGGGAAGCCAAGCATATAATAGCAATAGCCACTACCAGCTTAAACTCAATTTATCCCTTAGGCACCTTAGCCAACTTAATAATAAAAAAAAAAAAAAAAAGAAGCTGTTAAAGTGACAATCAACCAATCAAAGCACGGCATTTAAATACTCTAGAGTTTTAAAGTGTTAGCAATTAAATAATTTAATTAAGTAATTTAAGCAACTTAAATACTCGCACTTAAACATACTTATACTTAAACACTTGCATTTAAATACTTATACTTAACCCATTAAAGCAATGGCCATAGGGCACTTAACCCATTATAGCCCTCTAAAAAACAAGATATTTACATTAATTAAGCAATTTAATTAGCTAAGCAATGATTTAAAGGAAAAGCATGATTTTAAAGCATATGCACGCATATATATAAAAGACTGCTAATATAAGAATAATATATATAGGTATTATATATAGCGTGCCTATATAGTAAGTGCGCTATAGGCAATGCATAAATTTAAAAGTATAAGGTTTAAACTAATCTTATTAATAGTAGCTGCCAGGTAATGCTAGCTGGCTGCCAGCTAGCGGTTACATACCCCGCGCACAAATTACCATAGCTAGCTTATAGCTAGACGAGGAAAGGCTGCAGCTTCGCTGCAACCTACCCTCCACACACCATAGCCGAATTAATTACACACTCTATTTATCTATTACCAACCATATAGAAGCCAAACCAATAATAAATATAATAAATAAATAAAACTTAAATTTTTAATAATATTATTTAAATTATAATTTATTCAAGAAAAGAATGGTATTTAAGAATAATTATAAAAAAATTATATTTTAATATTTATTTATTAATTATAAATTAATAATAATATAAAAATAAAATTATATAAGCATTATTATTTTAAAAATTATATTATCTTAAGAAATATAAATAATATTATATAAATTTTATTAATTAAAAAGTATTTTAATTTTATATATATTATAAAATAAAATAATTTAAATATTTAAAAGAAAATTAATTAAAAGATATTAAAGGAATTAAATTTATTTTATTAAAATTAATAGTTTTTAATTATAAAAAAAGATAATATATTTTAATTTATTAATAATATATAAAAATATAATAAGTTTATAATTAAAAATGCATTTATTTTACTTTTAATTAATTAAATTTTAAAAAAGTTTCTTATATATTTAATATTTTTATTATTTAATTACTTTTTTAAAATATAATTAAATTAAATTATAAAAAAAAATATAATAACTTTTATAATGCTTTTAAAATTATATTAATTAAGTTTATTATTTAAAAAAATAATAAATTTAATTATTTATATTATAAATATTATAATATAATTATTATATAATATTTTATTATTTATTTATAAAGTATTTCTTAATATTATTATAATAAAACGATTATAATTACTTATAATAACTTAAAAGTATTAAGTTTATTTAAAATTAAAAAATTATAATTAAGTATATTAAGAATTTTAATTAAGTTTTTTTAAATATAAAGCTAGCTAATTTTATTATATTAATAATTAAATTAAATTAATATAAAAAGCATATTAATATTATTAAGTATATTTATAAAATTAATAAATAATTTCTTTAAAATAATAAAATTAATAAAATTTAAGATTAAACTTAATATTTATATTTAAAAAATATAAAATTCTTTTTAAATTTTATTTATTATTATAATTATTAAATATATAAATTTATAATTATTATTTACTTAATAATCTTTAAAAGAAAAGTATAATATTTTAATAAATAAAATATAAGTAAAGGATTATAAAAGAGTTAATTGAGCTTTTATTAATAAAATTAATTTTTAATAATATTAATTATAATTTTATAATAAGAAAAATAATTTTAATAATTAATATAAGCCTTATATAATAAGAAGATATATTTATAAAAGAAATTTTAAGTTATTAAAAATTAGCTAAATTTAATTATAATATTTAAATATTTATAGAAATTAAGTATAATATTATAAAAAGAAATATTAAATAATTTTTATAATAATAAAAAGAAAGAGAAATTATTTATTTAATTAATAATTTATATTAAAAATAAATATTTATATATTTATTACTTAAATTAATAAAGAAATATTTAATATACTTAAAGCTTTAATTACTTATTATATTAATATTATTAAGTTATTTAACTTTTATATATATTTATAATTATTAAATTTATAAATTTATAATAATAACTTTAATAATAACTTAAATAATTAATATAATATATTAATTAATAAACTTATTATTTAATCTTAAATTTATGTACTTATAACTTTTAAATTAATATATAAATTATTTATTATATAATATAATTTTATATTATTTTAATCTTACTTAAGTATAATAATTTAAATTTAAGGCTTTTAAGTATTAAATTATTAATAAAATTTTATAATTTAAAGAAAAATAATATTTAATTAAATATAAAGTTATTAATAATTTAAAATTAAAAACTTTATATTATTAATAATAATAAATTAATATAAAATATTATAATAATAAAAAATAAAATCTTAATGTAATTTATTATTAAATAATTAATATTACCTTATAATTAATTATTATAATATTATTTAATTTTTATTAACTTTAATATTTATTTAATATAAAAAAGTTAATAAAATTTAATATTAATTAATATTAATTACTTTTAATTCTTTATTTTTATTTATTTTTTTTAATTTAATATAAATAATATAAATATAATATAATTAAAAGTTATTAAAATTTATATAAAATAGCTTTTTTAATATTAAATATATCTTAATTTTATATATTAATTTTATTTTAATTTACTTATTTAAATATTTAATGCATTAAAAATTAATAAATATAATATATTTTCTTTATTTAAAGTAAATTTTAATTATTTAAATAAAATAATATATAATTATTAATTATTTCTTAAGTAATATATATCTTTTTTTAAAAAATAAATTATATATTATAAAATAAATTAATAATATTTTTATAATAATATATATATATATATTAATTAATATAAACTTAATTAAATTAAAGAATAAATAATTATTTAATATATAATTAAGTAAAATATTAAAAAAATTCTTTTAAAACTTTTTAATATAAAACATATTATTAACTTTTTATTAATATTATTTAATATTAATATTATTAATAAATATATAATCTAACTTAAAATTAAATTTAATTATTTTTATAATTATTAAAATGCTTTTTATAAAGATTTAAAAATTATAAAAAATTAATTTAAGCTATTTTAAAATATAATAATTAAATATAATATTATAATTAATAACTTATATATCTTTAATAAAATTAATTTTATAATATATATAATGATTATATTAATAATTATTATATATTTTAATAAATAAAAAAAAGTTAAATTAATTTAACTTAATAATTAAAAATTAAATATAATTATTAAATATATTAATATAATAAATTAATATATTTTATAATTTATAATTATTTAAAATACTTATTATTTTATAAGTTAAATTATAAAGTTAAGATTTTTATAAAATTAAATTATTAAACTTATTTTAAATAAATAAGTAAATAATAATATTAATTTAAAATAAATTTAATATTTTAATAAATATATTAAGTAATAAATAATAAATATATATTAAATATTAATAATAAATAATTATAAAAGCTATATATTAATTAAGTTTAATTAATATTATAAAAATAATAAAATTATTTTTATTAATATATTATTATATTTTTTCTTTATTTACTTTAATTATTAAATATTATATTATATTTATTTTTAAAATATATATATAATAATTAAATTAACCTTTTTATTTAAGCCTTTATTAATTATATTATTAAGTTTAAATTCTTTTTTATATTTATAATAGCTTATAATAAAACTTTTATAAAAAATAATATTTAATTTATATTTAAAAAGGTTAAAATTTTACTTTAAAATTTAAATTTTATTATTTCTTTTTTTTTTTTCCTTAATATTAAAAGTTTTAAAAATTATTTAATGCTTAATAAATGATTAATTAATTAAATTATATTAAAAATAAAATCTTTATTTATTAAAAAAGCTGCCTTATATTAATTATAAAGCTTATTAATAAATTAATAAAGAAGATATAAGCTATAATATATTTAATTATTTTTATAAGTAAATTTATATATTTTAAATATTAATATAATATTTATTAAATATTAAAGGGCTAAAAAAACTTAAATATAGCTTAAAAAGGTACTTATTATTAAGAAACTTTAAGCTTTTATATAAGAAAAATAAAAGGAAAAATATGTAATGGGCTTAGGCTATTGCCCAAGCCTTATATAGTGTGGCTAGATAATCTAAGGGAGCTTGGATTATTACGTACCTTTTGGTTTAAATGGTTGCTGTTTTGCAGCTTATAGAAGAAGGCGCTAGCCAGCCTGCAGCCCCTTTAAGGCCGAGCCTATAACAAAGTAATTAATTAATAAAATAAGTAATAATATTAAGAAAGCAATTTATAGCAAATTAATTAAATAATAATATAATAATTATAATAAAATTAAATATAATTTAAAAACTTATAAAAAAGATATAAAATCTTTTAATTAATTAAATTTTAAATAAATTATAGCTTTTTTAACCTTATTAATATTAATTAATATTAATATATATATTTTAAATAATTAATAATAAACTATATTTTTAATAATATAATTAATATTAATTAATATTGAATATATATTTCTTATTAAAAGTTAGTTATTTATATTAAAATTATATTTATATTACTTACTTTAAATTAATAAAATAAAATAAAAATAAATAATTAAAAGTAATTAGCATTAATTAATGCTAAATTTAATTAATTCCTTTAT